CGGCCGCCTCGTTGGGTTGGACAGGCCGGTTGGCCGCACAGACTGGCTGTCCGCCCGTGGCCTAGGAGTACGGTTACTGGCGCTGCTGTACCACGGGCCGCTCTGTCTCCACACAGCCAACCCTTAGCTGCTGAACACAAGTCTACGTCTTCACGGGTAACAGAAATACAATAGCTGCCACTATGGACTGTGACTGGTATGCTGGTCCTGACTTTACTACCTAGGAGCCACTAATCCAGACCAAGCATGGGTGACGGGAACTTCACTGGCTGCATGCTTGGTCCAGGATTGGGATGAGGGGCCCAGGGCGTTAGAGGAACTCACCATTTGGAAAGGTAAAACTCGTAGAACTTCACAGGGCAGCGCAGCGGGTTCTGCTTGTTCTCCTGCTGCTCCAGCGCGGCCACCTGGTCTTCTTCCCGCTTCCTCTTAGATGCGCTCTCTTTCAGGATGACACAAAGGAAATTATTCTCAAGTAACAAAATGACAGAACGGAAGTTAAAGCCGAACTCCGCCCACAAAAACCTTCGTATATTCCTCAACAGCTGCCAAAGGATATAAAGATCCAGTTTGTGAGCAACAAATGCCTCTGCAAACCCAGATAATACCTTGTAAATGTGGCAGTGACATCATCCCTGAGCATGTGCAGAGCTTGTGGGAGGGGCCCGGCAGGTTCCACCCACTAGAGTAAACTACAGGAGGGGGCGAAGCATAAGGAAACAGCAGCAGTGATTGGTCTTTATGACAGGAGGGGGCGGAGACAAGACCAGTCACCCTGCACAAGGAAAGAGAGCAGTGGGCGGTCTTTATTACAGGAGGGGGCGGAGACAAGACCGGTCACCCTGCACAAGAAGAGAGAGCAACAGTAACCGGTCTTTATTACAGGAGGGGGCGGAGACAAAACCGGTCACCCTGCACCAGGAGAGAGAGCAGCAGTGGGCGGTCTTTATTACAGGAGGGGACGGAGACAAGACCAGTCACCCTGCACAAGGAGAGAGCAACAGTGGGCGGTCTTTATTACAGGAGGGGGCGGAGACAAGACCAGTCACCTTGCAGAAGGACAGAGAGCAACAGTGGGCGGTCTTTATTACAGGAGGGGGTGGAGACAAGACCAGTCACCCTGCACCAGGAGAGAGAGAGCAGGAAGTGGAGGTTTTTGAGGCCGGAGTTCAGGTTTAAAGACCTGCGTATGAAGGGTGAATGGAGGTCATGTACGGTACCTTTGCACCTCCTCTGCAGCGAGGGAGGGTAATGGCGGATGCTGATGATTTTCGATGCTCCCCTGTTGGTGGCGCACTTGCGGGAATGTCGGACGACGTTGGTGAAGGACAGCTGCAAGTGCTCCTCGGCGGTGCGCAAGCCAAAGTACTTGGTGTTAAAGAACATGAGCGTGTTCAGGAGCACGTAGGGGGAGTACACGCCCAGCTGCTTACAGTCCCACAGATGTTCTTCCTCCACACGTGAGCACATCAGCCCTGAAATTGGGCACAAGTCAGGGAAATGCCCGATGAGCCGTCACCTACACACCCATCACCACCTGTGCACACCATAGCCCCGCCCCCACATCTCTATGTCAGGGAAATGCCCGATGAGCCGTCACCTACACACCCATCACCACCTGTGCACACCATAGCCCCGCCCCCACATCTCTATGTCAGGGAAATGCCCGATGAGCCGTCACCTACACACCCATCACCACCTGTGCACACCATAGCCCCGCCCCCACATCTCTATGTCAGGGAAATGCCCGATGAGCCGTCACCTACACACCCATCACCACCTGTGCACACCATAGCCCCGCCCCCACATCTCTATGTCAGGGAAATGCCCGATGAGCCGTCACCTACACACCCATCACCACCTGTGCACACCATAGCCCCGCCCCCACATCTCTATGTCAGGGAAATGCCCGATGAGCCGTCACCTACACACCCATCACCAGCGCCCACCTTAGCCCCGCCCCCACCCCCGAATCTCTATGTCAGGGAAATGCCCGATGAGCCGTCACCTACACACCCATCACCAGCGCCCACCTTAGCCCCGCCCCCACATCTCTATGTCAGGGAAATGCCCGATGAGCCGTCACCTACACACCCATCACCAGCGCCCACCTTAGCCCCGCCCCCACATCTCTATGTCAGGGAAATGCCCGATGAGCCGTCACCTACACACCCATCACCAGCGCCCACCTTAGCCCCGCCCCCACATCTCTATGTCAGGGAAATGCCCGATGAGCCGTCACCTACACACCCATCACCAGCGCCCACCTTAGCCCCGCCCCCACATCTCTATGTCAGGGAAATGCCCGATGAGCCGTCACCTACACACCCATCACCAGCGCCCACCTTAGCCCCGCCCCCACATCTCTATGTCAGGGAAATGCCCGATGAGCCGTCACCTACACACCCATCACCAGCGCCCACCTTAGCCCCGCCCCCACCCCCGAATCTCTATGTCAGGGAAATGCCCGATGAGCCGTCACCTACACACCCATCACCAGCGCCCACCTTAGCCCCGCCCCCACCCCCGAATCTCTATGTCAGGGAAATGCCCGATGAGCCGTCACCTACACACCCATCACCAGCGCCCACCTTAGCCCCGCCCCCACCCCCGAATCTCTATGTCAGGGAAATGCCCGATGAGCCGTCACCTACACACCCATCACCAGCGCCCACCTTAGGCCCGCCCCCACCCCCGAATCTCTATGTCAGGGAAATGCCCGATGAGCCGTCACCTACACACCCATCACCAACCCCCCCCACCTCACCCCCCCCCCC